TGCATTGATCTTCTTAGGCAGAGGTATAAAAGTAGAGCACAACCACTGTTTGGGATAGTGACCTGTCTCATAAGTAGAGTTAAATTATTTATGTAGTGCTGATGCATCTCTTTCATCTAGGAGTTTAAGTACCTATTTCTGAAGGGATTTCATCTGGACCAGCCAGCATTCAGACACCAATCTACAATTTACAAAAGCATTTTAGAAAAGTTCAGAAGTTTAAAACCCATTTTAAAATGCTTCCAACACTCTAGAATCCTCAGAAACATCTTGAAAAGCACCAGAATCTTAGGATTCAAGTTATATTTCGGTGCCCCGTCCTACGATATCACACTATAAGACCACTATATTGAAAGAAAAAAGAAGAAAATGTCACTACTCCTCCTTGGATATCGCAACCTAACCTCACCTTCGTGCCATAACTTCATTCTTCGTTTTAGTGCGAGGTTTCTTCCAATTTTTTGGAAATTTGTTGGGAAAGTGTAAGTGTTTTATTATTCTTTTTCCCATAAATTTTTCTCCTTTTAGATTCTAAGAAGGATAATGCCTGAAAACAAGAAAAGGTCTTAGATCTAGATCAGGTTCTCCGGACAAGGTTAAAAGAGCACATAGGCGTAGAACACATGGCCATAGTCATAACAAAGAAGATTCTTCATCTAGATCTAGGTCTAGAACTCGCACGTACAACTCTAAATCTTCCTCAGTGGAAAAGAGGCTTAGGGACTTAGAGCGCCTTATATATAAGGATCAGTGCTGTGATAGATCCAGCCCGACAGCGACAAGCTGTTCAATAAGAGGTTTGAGGACACGGAGTCCTTCATCAGATGCATCAAAGGCACGCAGCCCCATTCGATCTGTTTCTAACCCTGTGGCAGGAACAAGCTATGCAGTGAAGGGTTCCAGGACACGGACTCCTAAAACGGGAATGTTAGGGTCTCAGAGAGAAAGCCCCATTCAATTTCGTTTTAGGGGATCCAGACCGCATTCCCTTGAGTGTTCCCAGTCTGAGGAAGAGCAATGTAACAATATATTAGAAATTGATATGGATGACCAAACTCTAAAATGTTTGGGTAATGAGTAATGATCCTTCTAAAGATGCCATGCTGTATAATGAATGTAATTTCAGCAGAGAATAATTCTCCTAACAGGGAGGAGATAATGGCGCATTCTGGCAACATTGGGCAAATATTACAAACGCCCATCATATAGAACTTATAGAAAGGCTGCAATTGCCCCTTGCATATCTAAACAGGCCAAGGAGGTAGGCTTCAACAAACCTGTCGATGAATTTCTTTTAGGCAATAATTTTGAACAATATTACAAAAAGCTTACAGATTTGGAAAAAGATACAACGGATATTGAACAAAAGAGTTCCTTCTCGCGTTCCTCTAATTATCCTAAGCAGAAATATTTGGCTTATGGTAATCCTGGTTATACTTCCAAGGCTTATAGAGATGATAGCAAGAATAATTCAGCTACTAGGCCGTTACACTCATGGGGCTCGTCTCGCAGGTCACTAGGGGATGCGAGACAGAGAGGGCAACACCCGAAGACGTCATACTCCCAGTCGAGGAGACACAACAGAGAGAAAAGGAATTGATGGTAGGTTCCAGACCTTGTTCAGCAATGCATTAACGATTTACTTGAGAAGGGGGTCATAGAGAAGGTACCAGAGAGAAATTGTAATTTTTTATCACCTTTTTTCTTGATTGATAGACCGGATAACCAACCCAGATTTATTCTTAATTTAAGGAAACTTAAAGCAGGTTCATTTTGAGATGAAAGATTACAGGACTGCATTAAAGCTGGTTCAAAAGGAGGCTTTCATGTGCACAATTGACCTGAAGGGTGCCTATTATGCAATACCTGTACATAGATCTCATTGCCTTTAAATTTCAAGGGGCCATATATCAGTACCGTCCTCTTTCCTTTGGTCTTTCTAGTGCTCCCTATGCCTTTAACAAATTAACCAGACCAGTTGTAACTTGGTTAAGAAAAGCTGGCATATCCTGTGTAATATATTTAGGGGATTTTTTAATTATAGATAGACATGCTGAAACATGTAGGAAAAATGCAAGGTTGGCAGTTAAATTTTTGTAGGTTTCATAATTAATTATGAGAAGAGTAAACTTGAACCTCATACTGAATGAACTTATTTGGGCTTTATTTTTTATAGTCATTTTATGACATTGTCCCTTCCCCAAGAAAAGAGGGAGAAAACCTTTTTTTTACTTACAGAGTTCATTACTTTAGACCCTTGTTCGATACTATATTTAGCCCGGGTGATGGGTTTACTAGTCTCAGTATGCTCGGCAATTATATATGGATGGCGTTATACCAAGAACTTGGAGAGGTTTAAGACTGCAGCTTTACTTCGAAAGGGTCAAAATTTTAAACGTGTTGTTAAGATTCCAGTGTAGTTACACCCCGACATATTTTGTGGTAGGTCGGACCCATTTGATTTTGAGATTTTTTCTGACTCTTCCACTTCTGGATGGGGGGCTCATAGTGGCTCTCAATCAACTCATGGTTGGTGGTCTTTAGAAGATCAATCTGAACACATAAATTTTTTGGAGCTAAAAGTGCTTTTTTGGCTCTCAAGTGTTTTACATCAGATTTGAAATCTGGGGATATTTTACTTAAGTAGAGTAGATAATGCGACCGCCATTTTGAATATAAATGGGATGGGAAGTGTAAAATACCCAAAATTGTCTTTTTTAGCTCGACAGTTATGGCAGTCGTGTGAGAGAAGGGATATATGGGTCCAACCATCTTATATCTCTATAGCCGATTTTGAGTCAAGAATTCTGCCATCAGAGACCGAGTATGAGTTGAACCAAAGAATGTTGAACCAAAAAATGTTTGGAAAAATTGTTAGGATTTTTGGGGAACCACAAATAAATCTTTTCGCATCCTATTTAAATAGAAGTGTACGCATCTTTTCTTCCTGATCCAGAGTCTTATACAGTTGACGCGTTCACCATATCTTGGAGAAATATATATTTTTACGCTTTCCCTCCTTTTTGCCTTATATTAAGGGCATTGAATAAAATTAACAAAGAACAGGCAGAGGGAATAATGGTAGCCAAGATGGGATTCTTAACAATGGTACCCTCTCTGGAAAACTATGTTAACTGATAACCCATTAGTTTTTCATCCAGTTGATAATCCGATTATTTTTCCTTTTAGCACCCTCAGCCCTCCGGCTTGTTCTCTGGAGGTAGGCAGATAATCTGGCAAGCTCTGTTGTTAAAAGGAAATCCAGAAGAATCGATACCAATTCTCTTAGAGTCTCTATCAGAATCAACTCTTAAACAGTACGAGAGCGCACACAGGTACTGGTGGGATTTCTGCCAGGAACAGAAGCTGGATGTGTATGAGACTGGAGAAAAGGAAGTACTACCGTACTACTATTTTTCAATAGTTTACTCAAAAGAAAGACATTTTAGTATGGATCTTTTAATACATACCGTTCGGCTTTATCTTTAATTCTAAATTTTGATATTGGATGTGGGCCCAACATCAGGCGTTTTTTGAACGGGGTGTTCAAAGGCGTTACAATTACATATGGGATGCTAATGAAGTCCTAAACTACTTGGGAAAGAAATTTCCCGAAAATGTCATTTCCATAGTGGTCCTATGCAAGAATACTGCTACTTTACTTGCATTGGTATCTGGTCACAGAATTCAGACCCTTAGCAAAATTAGAGTGGATCAGATAATATTCTTGGCAGGTGACATTCAGATATTCAGTCCTATGATGTATCATTTTCTGTTATTTTAACAGCAACCTTAAGTTATCTGTCACTGTTTATTCTACACGTAAAAATAGAGACAGGTATAGATTTTGAGCTATAACACAGCTGTTAAAATAACAGGAGAGGATACATCATAGGCCTGATTAATTCCTAATCACTTAAAAACTTCAAATCGGGTTAGTACAAATCCTTGTTTGCATTCACCGTATTTTCCAGACCGTCCCGGTATGATGTCCAGCTTCTTGTTTGGAAGAATATACACAGGAGAGTAGTTTTTCGAACTAATCAGGAATACTTATTTTTAAGCAATCGTTCCCCATTCGGCTACTATAAGTAACTGGATTAAGAGATCTCTTTCTGAAGCAGGCATAGACACTAAGGTGTTTACATATGGTATGCAGTATTGGAAGTGGAGATTGATTATTATGATTTTCTAACTTTCGTAGTTATTCTATATCCATCCCAACTCTATCCTCCAATTTTTTGAGTACCTTCAAACTGAATGAAGTTATGGCACGAAGGTGACATTAGGTTGTGATATTCAAGGAGGAGCAGTGACATTTTCTTCTTTTTTCTTTCGATATAGTGGTCTTAGTGCACGCTCAAGCGACACTACCAAGTGTGATATCTATACGGAATAATACGGACCTCATATCTATAATTCCGATTGAACTTTAGAGGTAAGTTCGTTTAATCGGTGAAATCAAAGTTACAAAAGACTCTTAGAAGGCGTTCAAGAGCGAATTTAAATGGCTGTGGAACTTCAAACATTCAATAAGCATCCGGAACAGAATTTTCAGGAGCATTTTGGAACAATTTAGAAACTCCAGAGTAATATCTCTGGAAGCCTTTCAGAACTCTTTCGAACCGATTTAGGACACTTTGGAACTTCAATATAGGGCTCTAAAATACTTAAAAATATCTCAGAACAATTTAGAAATTACTGAGAAACTGTTCCAGAACTCTTCAAGTAAGAACAGTTTATAACTTCAATAAGCCATTTAGAACGTTCCAAAACACACCAGCAGAATTTTGAAAGGCTTCAGAACAATTCAAAGACCCCAGAATTATTTCAGAGAGCCTAGCGCCTGGAATAAATAAAAATTGACTGTTATAAAATGAGTTATAGCAAACATTTATTTCTTGTCTACTGAGATTTTGAATTAGCTTTCCTAGAACTTGTAGAAACAATATTCGATCAATAATCAATATTGAACAAAGTACGTTGACTCAAAAGTTGTTTTATTCTGATTACAAATATGTTTAAAAACCTTAAGATTTTCCACGGCATCAACATTTTACATTCTCAATGTCGGAATAATTTATCATTTTGGTCCTGCATGTAAGTAACTGGTTCTGAAAATAAATAAGTCATTAATCAACAGCGGCTCATTAAAGGAAGTGTTACGGTTAATTTGAAGTGTTAATATCCTGCTTTTGACATGTTAATTTTACAAGCTACAAGAATGTGATTTTGACTTTAAATATTATTATAAATTTGATAGAATCAAGCTCTAAGTGAAATTGACTCAATCATAGAAAAATGTCCTATATAAATGAGTTGCATCTGTGGCAATTTTGATTCACTACCTTGACAGCAAGGCCAATATATTAAACAAAACGAAAAATAATATTATTATTATTGTGGAGAATAGGTAAAATGAAACTGGCCATTTTAAGCTATCTAAATTACATCAACTTTCAAGAGTAATGCACACTTAAGTATGTATTTCGGAAGACCTTGTACATAAAAAATCCCACAACTTGAAAATTGATCTCAATAATATTTATTGATGTGTCACACCCAGGGGGTGATTAACAAATTTGCCTAATTTGTGCAACAAGCGTAGGCATATAAAATTTAATTATGTAGATTGACCTTCGTAAACATCATTTTGCAATTAAATGCTATATAAAGACATAGAGATTTATATAAAAATAGTAGTAGATGAGTCAATTTGATATTAATAGGCCAACTAAATGTAAACTGATTGAAAATCAAAAGATAAGTGGTACTGGGATATTTCACAAACTCATACATAAGTATCCATTGTTTAAATCAAAGCAAATATATCACAGCTATTATCAGAATCTTACCAATGCAAGAGATATTTCGCAGAAACGAAACCATTTTATCTTGCAGTTATTGCATTCGACCTCACCCACCGGTGGGCAAGGATACCATTTATGATGCATGATATTCAATTTTATGTAGCATTCATAAAATTTTTATAGGCAAAGCGTTAATGAACACACCCAGATGATGAACGATTTTTTGAAAAAGGTTTTATTAGCAATCAGATCATCAACATCTAAATCCTGCTAACAATGACATGTAATGTAAATAATCTTAGACATAATTTCTAAAAAAAAAAAAACACAACACAATTGCTGCTTTAGCAACTTGAGAATAATAATAGGCGACCTTCAAATAGCTTGTCTAGGCAACAGTGAACGCCTAATTTTTTTTCTTACATAAACTATATCGATATGTTTAATACTTTTACTATTTGGATAATATGTATCGGTTATATAAATAGTTGCAAATCTGCAGAAAATATTGCATTTTGTTTGATATCAGAGCAAAAAAACACTTTTTTTGTTTCAAAACTTCTTTCACAATGGGTATATAGAAGCTCCATTTGGACTAGTATTTCAATAAGATAATTAGATTTTGTTGGATTAAGATGAATAAATAACCAGCACATCAGAGAAAAGTGTGTGGTTGTAAAAGTTCCTTATATGGTATAAGGTTGTGAGATAATTTATATCCTTAAATGGGTATTTACTAAAGTTCCAACAAGTTGCTCACTATGTACCATCGTCATCAAAAGTATCTGAGACAAAAATAATTCATAATAATTTCCTGGACTAATTCTACCATCATTCATTTTATTCATAGTTTGACAAATATTTGACACTAAAAATCATATTATAGTACAAGACCTAATATGATGCTGTCCCAGTTACTTTTGGTGACGATGGTACCTACCCCTACCAGTGAGACAAACATTGGATGATCAGTATATAAAGAACAATGAGCTACAAGCAAAAGTCATCTTGTGATGTAATTGAGTAACTTTAGAAATTTAATAAACAAGAATTATAAATGACATTCAATAATAAAGAACAACTAATGACAACGACAAAGACATGATAACTATTAACATATTATTAATACAGGTAAACAAAACTATATACAGAGTGACAATTTGAAAAGTAGCAACCGGGAATGTCTCTTAGGCAAAAAATACTATCATGAAGATCGCAAATACGTATCGGGGGATTGGAGGAGGAACCAAAATGAAGCACTTTCTGAGTCACCCCGCCTCCCTCCTTAGGTAGTTACCTACCCTAACGTATTTTTTTCAAAAAAGAACCTACCTTGTGTTGTACTTCGTTGGATAGCTCGTTGCTCGATTCGTTTTCGAGATATCGGTGCCTAAAAGTGAGTACATTGTACCAACAAACATCCCAAACAGCAAAGGTTAGTCGGTATGATGTCGATTTTAAATAGATTTACGTCGATTAACCAAAATTCGACGTCGTAAAAAGGTTGCAAAATATGACTTGCTTGGGACGTCACGTAGTGGATGTTTATTTGACCATGACATGAACCAACAAGTTCAAAAGTTACCATGTAAAACCCAATATGACCCTTTCAGAGAAAATTGCCTGTATTAAGACGTCTATGAAACGTCCATTTGACGACGTTGAATTGGACGTATATTTGCTCAGTGTGGATCGTTTGAAAAAGGTTTTTCATCACATTTTGGAAACAGTTTGAAATTATTGGTGTTTTGTGCATTTCAGAATTTGTTTATTTCAATATTATTATACTTAATTGATGAATCATCTAGTCTGGGAGACGACCACATTTTTCCTACCCCGATCGAGTTATCTGTCGACACTATTATCAATATATAGTATTATGTGTCGACACTATTATCAATATATAGTATTATGTGCATCTATTAACCTGTATTCCTGCCTGAGAGCAAATGCTGCCGGAAATATCTTTTAACAAATTATTAACAAATTGAAAAAAACGTAACACTACCCCCATCGAGTTATGCCCTAAGTAGGGTATCAGATTGAAGATCTCGATGTCCCCTATCTAAAAAGTCGATCCTGCCTCGTGAGAACTTGCCGGAAAAGGGTGGCAGGACAGCTTATTGGGGCAAGGGCCCGCAGTCTCTGCTTTGACACCTATCAAGCTTTGCACTAAATGATGTGTCAAATTAAAGGTGTCAACATAGAGAAATATAATAAACCAAGGTAAGAGTACCTGATTGATAGCATGAAAGTTTGTATAGCGCTGACGTCACAGCGACGGTGGCGTCAATAGTGGCAGCCGGAACAAATACTGAAATGGCGGGAATTTTGAAATTTGACTTGAGTTGATTGCACAAAAAACTTACTTATGTTGTTCCACATCTTTTTTTCTCAAATCCGAATGAGAAAAATGATGTGGTACTCTATAAAGTTTTGTGCCATTTTTTGATGTAGATTGAAAAAAAAAAAGGCAAAATAAACACTAAAATTGTACTAGAGAAAATATATATTATAGCTATATAGGTCAAATACCTAAAGAGTTTACAAACAAAGTTATTACATCCCTTATACATGCTTTAATGTATGTACAAGCTAAGCTCGCCAAGGCCTAACATCTACATTTTATCTCTTCTGACTGAGGTCTCCTAAAACAGTAAAATAATATGCCATATATCACAAAACTAACATGTATACTTACTGGTTCAGTTTATCCTAGTTGTACATAATATTATAGGTACGCGATACCGAGTGCCTTAATAAAAATAACAATTTCTTCTTCTTGTTCTTTAGATTTTGTGAGTTCGAGTCTTCTTAGACGACCGCCCAATCGTTTAAAAATGACAAATTTCAACACGGAAATGTCGTTATTTTAAGGTTACTTATTTGTTTTCTCGGTCACAGTTTCTATAGTTATGGATGTTTGATAGGCACAGAACATATCACCTCTAGAAAAGTATCTGCAATGGTATGTACCGGTTATGAATTACAGCGCCATCGTTGAATGAAAACCCAACTAATCGAGCATTCTTGACAAAAAGGCGAATCTATTTTTTCCCTATATTTTTATTATTTTTAAATAATTTTTAATGCTCAACTGCATTTGGCTTGCTGACTCCTTTTAGCTCTTTTCGCCTCATTTTCTTGAAAACTATGACTGGCAGGAAGTTTCCAATGTCGAACATAGTGCAAAGAGAGTTAGTAAGTTAGCAAGCGACACGCAGCTATAGGTAGATCGCAAAGTAAATACAAATAATAAATACAAATACGAACGAAACGAAATAAACGAACAAATACAAAAAAATACGAACAAAAATTAGGGTTTTTTTCAACCAAAACTTTTTGAATTTTCACTTTAACACGCGTGGGGACCATGGTTTACAACAACACAATTTAAAAATTCAAATTTTGACTTTTGAAATGACAAAATAAATGACAAAATCAACCAACACAACTCACTGTCCACACCACAGATACCTGTAAATTTCTCTTATCTCCCGATAGTGTCGCCATCGTTGATTGAAAACCTAACTAAAAACCTTCGTCGCGATTCTCCCATTTGAGATATTTTTCTATAGGTGATATGTTCTGTGTTTGATAGGTTTCTACCATAGAGAAATATAATAAACCAAGGTAAGAGTACCTGATTGATAACATGAAAGTTTGTATAGCGCTGGCGTCACAGCGACGGTGGCGTCAATAGTGGCAGCCGGAACAAATACTGAAATGGCGGGAATTTTGAAATTTGACTTGAGATGATTGCACAAAAAACTTACTTATGTTGTTCCACATCTTTTTTTCTCAAATGCGAATGAGAAAAATGATGTGGTACTCCATAAAGTTTTGTGCCATTTTTTGATGTAGATTTAAAAAAAAGGCAAAATAAACACTAAATTGTACTAGAAAAAATATACTTATATTATAGCTAGATAGGTCAAATACCTAAAGAGTTTACAAACACAGTTATTACATCCCTTATACATGCTTTAATGTATGTACAAGCTAAGCTGGCCAAGGCCTAACATCTACATTTTATCTCTTCAGACTGAGGTCTCCTAAAACCGTAAAAAAATATGCCGTATTGAACGTATATCACAAAACTAACATGTATACTTACTGGTTCAGTTTATCCTAGTTGTACATAATATTATAGGTACGCGGTACCGAGTGCCTTAATAAAAATGACAATTTCTTCTTCTTGTTCTTTAGATTTTGTAAGTTCGAGTCTTCTTAGACGACCGCCCAATCGGTTAAAAATGACAAATTTCAACACGGAAATGTCGTTATTTTAAGATTACTTATTTGTTTTCTCGGTCACAGTTTCTATAGTTATGGATGTTTGATAGGTTTCTACAAAACAGCTAGGAAAGCTCTGTAACTCATACGGTGACCTTGTCTTGTGAATTGGTATGACAGAGAAAGATGAAACAGAATCGAATGATCGGACTGATCTTTCGTAAGTCTCTAGCTTTCCAAAAATTCCGCAATACGCTATGCGCAACCGGATGCGCAGTAATAGTATAACCTATTTCGGCTATACTTTTGAAGGTCTTTTTATTTTTTATTGTCTATGGGTGTCAATAAGTTGATTTAAGGTCTGTTCGCACAGAAATCACAAACCAGTCAGAGCGAATTTCATTGGTTGGAAACAGTCAGGAAACTAGTTTCAACCAATGAAATTCACTCCTTCTGGTTTGGGATTTCTGTGCGAAGAGACCTTAAATCAACTTATTAACACCTTTAATTTGACACATCAATCAGGGTAAAACTTGATAGGTGTCAAAGCTGAGACTGCGGGCCCTTGCTTGAATAAGCTGCCCTGCCACCCTTTTCCGGCAAGTTCTCACGAGGCAGGATCGACTTTTTAGATAGGGGACATCGAGACCTTCAATCTGATACCCTACTTAGGGCATAACTCGATGGGGGTAGTGTTACGTTTTTTTCAATTTGTTAATAATTTGTTAAAAGATATTTCTGGCAGCATTTGCTCTCAGGCAGGAATACAGGTTAATAGATGCACATCTATATAAATAAAAATCAATGCCACTTTTCGTTGTAATTTTATAACTCAAGACCGGGCTCACCTAGCCAAACCCAATGTTTAGGCTTTGTTCGGACTATTTATTAGATGGTTTATGTGAAGTTTGCACAAAATCGGTCGAACGGTTCTTCATTTATCACATTTTTTGTAATAAATGAATTATTCAATAAATGGAGGATCATTTTGTTAATGGGGATCACAGAACATATCACCTCTAGAAAACTATCTGCAATGTTATGTACCGGTTATGAATTACAGCGCCATCGTTGACTGAAAACC